AATATTGGAAAACATTTCCTCAGCTACTGTCGTGATTGTTCTTGTCAATTCTTCGCACTGTTTTTTCGCGTTTGTGATTGTAAGTGCATAGTTAATGCACACACTACATTTCAATACCCTGTGCCCACTGATCTGTGTGCGTGATCATGACTTTAGTGTGTATATTTTGGTTTGGAGTATTTCTAATCGGAAGCTTCATCGACAGAATTACAAACCCACGGTTTTCACAGTGTCTCATATTTTCCTGGTAACATGATCAACTACAGCTATGTTCTAGGTAAGAAATGTATTTCCATGACAGGCATTTCAATTGATATTCTGATTATTTCATTTTGTTAAACTTGATACTGGAATATTTATGAATACGTACGGAGTGTCTTGTCACATCAGTGTGATTTGATTTGACCCTCTGTAAATTTTTCCAGGTGCAATGAAAACAGGGGCCAAAGACTTGGCTCCCATTTCCTCCTCCATATTCACTCGATATCTGTCAGTAGGCAAACTCTGACTAATTGCAAAATGTACGCATAACCCCTATACCTAAGAAGAAAGAAGGAATATTCTCTCCCCTAGCTTCCACTCCGGTTCTACTCAAAACTCTCCAGCGAATTGATATCAATGATTTGAAGTCCACTTCTCATATTTTGTATTCAAACCAATTTATCAAGCAAAACAGCGCTCGACTCCACCGATTGATCAGAAAGGGAAAATAATTTGCATACTTTTCCTGGATTACAGGAATGCTTTCTTTTCCCTTAGCATAGATACTCAACTATCAACCTCGAAGTAACAAGAGATTTAGTCGATTTTTCCAATTTCTTAATGAGCCATTTCATAAAACGATCTCAATTCACACATTTTAATGGTCATAGGTTCTCAACGATCCCTGTTAACTCCTGTATGATGCCGGGTTCTATCTTATCACCGTTTTTGTTCATCTGATATATCCCCACTACATCAACCTTCACTTTGAAATATGCTGATGGCATTGTGTTCTTTTCTGATTCCCGGAACAGTGTTTTTGTCAGTCCACGACAATAGTCAGTCTCTACGATGACGGAGTCATCCAACGTCGTAAATAGAACACTCAATCCCAACAAGTGTGTAGATGTACTAACTTCAGTGGACCGTAAATCCACATCAAAATCAAATCATCGAGCATAAGAGGGTCCAAAAATTGAGACGGAGTTGCACTAGAAAGAGCTTAATGAATCATGCGATCAGGTCTTAACTCCATCTAATATGTACAAGATAATTTTCTCAGGGTTTGAAGGCTGATATTCTTCATCTCCCACCTGAGGTGGCTAAGAGTTCTAAGCTTATTTATCCCGTGTAGAACGTCACTAATGACACAACAACCTTGTCACTTTTTCTGGATTGCTTGTCAGTGACATTTTGTTGATCAAATGCTCCCATACATTTACTTCAAAATAAAACAAATTGTCCTGCGATGATTTACTGGACTTCGCTAAACATCAGTTTTTTGCCTGCGGCCGGTTTTCATGCACTGAACATTTCGACGACTCATCTGATGAACTCATAACTCACTCACTCCCTCTCCTGGTATGTTTTACTAAGCTGCACAAAGCAGATTTAAAATGACATATTTACGGGCTACAAAGCCTCATAACTTGGATATTCCATGTCTAGTCATGCTGCTGGTTTCCAATGAACATCTTACCAGAGAAGTAATCACGACTGTCCGTCTTCTGTCTTCTTGCTCATTACCAACCACGGTAGACTGACCCAGTAATGATCGTGTTTTATTTATCATATTCTCGAAGCATGGGATTGGCAACTTCTTACTGAAAATCGGACAAAAAAGCACATCCTTGAATGACTCGATTTGGTTGCATTTAGTTCGTACGATTATGTTGGTATATATATATATATATATATATATATATATATATATCACATTAGTTAGCTAGGGATTACATTTTGCATAATGTGATGAAATCCTGACGTTCAGTATGCCGTTTAGAGTTGGCTCCTATAGAGTGCGTCTGAGTACGAATGGGGTTTGGTGGATGTGCAATGCTGATGATTCTAAACACGGATAATACAGTAACACAATGTTTCTATAGTTTTTAATACAGAATTGGGAATGCATACCGCCTGATTACTAAGTCATGTAATATAAATATATGGAGACAGACCGAAAGTATAACAGATATATTTTCGTAATGTGACGCCATTTTTTACAATGGAATGCCACATGATTCTGTTACCAAAATATATCTTTCTCCATCACTCTACAATAGAATCCTTTCTCTCACTTCAAAAAACAAGAGGTGCTCAACAGCCATGCAAATTCAGTTCATTTGAGTGCATCCAACCACCTACCGTGCACAGAGGGCAATGGTCTTCGTGGTTCTCTTTCCTCGAAAATTTCAAGGGGTACTCAAAAATCATAGTAGGAACAGTCTCCAAGCGAACGACAAGTATTATTATCAGTTCAGAAGAGAAAGTTTGCAGAAAGAAGAGACTCACCGATGGCGATATCCGGTCACCTGGCATCTAATCATCAGGTGGATAGCTTCTTTGGACCCCAGTTTAGCTAACAAACTTAGTTACTTCAAGAACACAAGTTCAGGTGAACACCGGTTTCCGAAAATTCACAAACATGCCTTCGCATTTTATGACTGCAAACCCAGGGAATAACGAACTTGCTGAAAATTGCCAATGGCCAAAAACATCCAATCGATATATATTTGTGATATTAATAATACGGCGAACTACATGAGTGAATTAGACCAACGGGCTCGTGCTTACCGAGGCTACATGAGCTGCCAAGAATTCATGAGCCTGCTTATCCTATCCGTCCATTTCTATCTATGGATAATTCACCGTAGTTTTCAGTGCGGAAAGGGTTGACAGAAATTCTAGAGCCCAGACGGAAATAAGTGTGAGCATACAGTGTGAAAGAATGTGGAACCGCAAAAGATATGGATTTATCGAGTAAAATGATATTCTGACTTGGCGTCTCATCGCTTTTCAAAAATTTACCGTTTGTGAAAACCATCACGTTTTGATCAGACATCTGACGGATAACATCATTAACGTAGAAATACCGACTGAGTCTTTAGGGAAAGTTTTGGTCAAGTGCGTTCCGATGTATGGTTTATGTATAATGGAAGCTTTATTCGAGTAAACGATGGTATTGCAATAGGTTCCCCTTGGCCTTCTTTTAGCTGAATTCTTCATGCCCATGACAGAGTCCAATAATTTAAAAGACAGTATCACACGAATTGATGCATATTGCTGTTTTGTAGATCATTTATATTGCATAACAGACTCAAACTGTGATATAGGAAATCCATTGCACACGTTCAATATGGGACGTGAGTCAGTAACGTTCGTAGTCGAACTAGGAACGAGTGACCAGATGCCCTTCCTTGATGTGCACCCTCAACAGAACCGAGGATGGGTTCATTCAACATAGCCAAGATGTTATTTCAAAAGTTCCTTTTGATAACAACCTAGAACAAGGACAAATTACCGATACTGACCGTTCCCATGGTTATTCATTCATTCAGTTGCGTCTGTGACTTACTCTACGTCAATCGAACGGTGACTGTCTTCCCACATTAAAAGGCATCACCCGTGTTGGCTAATTCAAGGTGGGTCCAGAGTTATTTCTATCTCAACTCTTAATCATTTGGTCGACACTGGTCGTTGAGTTGATCGCAATCAATCAATTTGGGATACTTCACCAGGTGCCTGAAACGGATCGAAACAAGCCCGCATACGCACACTAGCTACCATCGAAGCCATCGGAATAAGACAAATAGCACCGAACCTCTGTGCACAAAGAAAAAGCGAAAAATGCCCTCCAACCACCAAAAATGGTCTACGATCGCACCGACACACAACGCACACACACACACACCACATACGAACATTCGTGACTGCCATGCAGATCAACTGACCTCCGAGTTATAATTCCCCGATCCCATTCCTCAATGGAACGGCACTATGACTGTGTCCACTTCATTCTCCATCACACCTATACACCCTTGGGACATTTGGTTAGCAAATCCTCTATCCCCAGGATTTTCAGTCATGTAAATTGTGAAAGTATAATTATGAATTGTCAAAAAGTTGTACACCTGAAATTATTTTGACTATGGGCATTTCCCCCGACTGAAACTTAGTTATATTTCATGGGCCTCGTTTCGTTTCTACTCAGTAAATACAATGCACGCAATTTGAACTCACGTGGTTAAAACATTTCGTGTCGTTTGGTAATCTATACATCGTCAGAGTGAAAAGTGTCGTTTCGCTAGACCCCCATCGGAATTTTCATATTAGCAAAACATAATCGTGCAAAAATGTCTCAGTGGATAAATGATAAAGGCAGGATTATTAGCGCTGAACACAAGTCGAATCTCCTAGTTGAGTGTTGAGACCTACAAACAAGCACACTCATGAAACACAAAGTGTGCTGTAGGCAGCATAATAAAAACACAATTGACTACGTTGAGACCACTGGAAGATCAGAATAAAGTTTTGCCTGTATTTGTCAACGGAAGGATGATACTAATAATAGTACTCAGTAATCAGAGTGACTATCAGGCAAGAGGTTTTGTTATGTTATCGTAAGCAATGTGACACGCTCTCATCTGGTATTGGTACAATGAACCCAGGAATTTCTCCCTTCAGAAAAATGCCTGTTGCTCATAGTAGTAAGAAAACCCCCATGGTAACGAGCACATATCACAAACAGCCTTGTTAACTGAAATTAGGAAGGCACACAAATTACTGTCATTCAGTGGGCGTAGAGGAAAGAAAATCGAAATCATGTAAAAAAAACTCGAGAACCAATAGACAGCTGTGTTACAGGTGAAGACACATTGGATATTGATGAGTCTGGATATTCGTCAAGTATATAAAGCACGGTATTTTCGACTGATCTAGATCGGATAAAGCACTTGAACTTACCATGAAGATGCTTTTACGCTGTGCAGCAGTCCTACTGCTAATGTGTCTTTGTGTAGCCTCAGGTGAGTGATTATTTAGCGATAGAGATTGATAAAACCGTAGGCATTAGACGTATTCAAATCTGAGACATTCCAAAGCATGTATTTTCATTTCACAACGAAATAGGATGATAAATGTAAACAAGGCCTGTGAATATGTTAGATGAACACAATTACAAAGACCACGCATGCAAATACATATTATTCATTAAGTCAGTTTCAAATCACTCGCATTTGTCCAATTTGTGTATAATGGAGATTAGTGAGGATGATGAACACTGCATGCACTAAGGCGGGTTATGCACAACGAAATCAAAACAAGTGTTCGGAAATATAATGCTGCGTAGACCGTCCCCACCGATCAGTGTACTGGATCGTAACACACTTGCATACCAGTTCTTCCGTTCAACTCTGGATGTTCTAGCTTCAGTTCATCTTTTGTTAGTAATCATTAGATCGTACTGGTTAGGAGGGGGATTTCGACTGCAGTGAAGCCTTCATCACTCTCAATAGTTCCAACTTATTTCAGCATATTCCGAATCGTGGGGCTCGCACGTATCATATACAACTAATGTTTAGCTACTTTTTCAGTCACCAATTGTCCAGTCGATTACTTGGACAAACGTCTCCAAAACTTCCACTCATAACAGCTATTTTACAAGGTATCCTTCCCCCATCTTTCCGATGAGGCTATTATCTGTAAGCCTCACTCGATTAGTAGCATTACAATACTCTTGAAACAAAAAGCAACCGAACTCACCAACAGGTCTTCCAATGTTAACATACAAATAAATCCCTCCAAATTCTCTGGTGTTGCAATTTTTTGTCAGAACAAAATTTACAGTTCTGATCTCACATCTAAACAAGACTTACTCATCAACGGCGTGCACACTGTTAGGGCTTTGTCTACCAAATATTGGCGAAGTATTATTATTCACCGTGGTCTATCATGATCCGCTGACTTCGCTTCTGTTTTCCTATCAATTAGACGGTGTTAACCTTATACGTTCTACGGGTTAAATTCACTTTCAAAAAAAATTCACCTGATTATATTGTTTACATTCAAATTAATTTTACCCCACTATTATTACGCTTACCCATTTATTACTCATGCTCTGTCCTCTCAATACCTCAAATATATCTTCACACTGACCAAATATCCCTATCGATTTGGTGAAATCTCTCACGGTCAGCTTACTCAGCATATAACAACCGCGTGAGCTCTAAGCTTGTTGGAAATTTCCCTCACAGTTACTGGATGACCAATCACATCCCACTCATTCTAATCTCCGTGTTCGTATATCTACCTCTTCTAGTAGGTTGAGCTACAAACACCCATTTCCAATTTCGACTCTTGTGAATCGTTTGCGGTTTCTTCCTCTACCAAAACTACCACAGTAACCGAAACAATAACCTTAAAACTGGATAAGCTAAACCGATTTCTCCACTGTTGCTAGAAACTTGCTCTCAATGTTTCTGCATCGGGGTGGTTCTGAAGTTTGAGGAATGATCATGTCCGGGTGTAGGAAGCAAATCATTGACTGGAATCGAAAGAAAACTAACAACTACACAAGGCAATGTATAGTAAAAAAATAATAATAATTTTATCATCCACCAAAATTTATATACCAAATTAGATATTCTCATCAGATTCAAAAGGTATAGGGTCATCATTCATCATCATTGAGGATTTCGTACCGAAAAAAATGTTTAAAATATTCACCTTCAGAAAAGGCGAACGGGAGAAACCGAAGTATGCATGGATTTGGGGAAAGCATCAGTTAGATTTTTTTTGTAATTTATTTAGGAAGGCAAATGATTAGGCTTTTCAATGGGGATTCCATCAGGTCCAAATTTGTGGGCAGAATAGGTCTGGAGTATGTAGTCCATTGCCGCATTATAGAGCCGTGGTGGCGTGTCGGTGCCTCATCTCGGTCAGAGTTAAGAAACACTAACATGGTCGGTCACATCCTGATCGTTATCCTGTACATTAGTCAACATTAATTATGCATACAACCACCAGTCTGATTGATCACAGAATGAATATTGTGCAACTCCAAAGAGATTCAAAGTTTTCTTAGTCCGACTATCAATCGACCACATCCAGTCGATCCACCATTTTTCCCATAGATATCGTTATGCGCATATTTGTTGTTTGTGTTCGGCTCGCGTAGCATACCAGCATAAAATGCACGACACTACTTAACTGATTAGTCAGTTTCAGGATGTTGTCTGAAGCATTGATAAATAGCCCAGTGCCGTTCACAGATAGCACGTCATAGTCTGCCCAAAATCGATGGCAAATTTCACGCCAGAGAAACGCGTCGATGACCCAACCAATTCTTGAAGAATCTGGAAGATATTATCCAATCAACCGCCAACAGTCACTCTCATCGAACCGAGAAAAATCAGCTAATCAGCGGCCTTGAGTTTTTCAGTTGAATGCACGTGAATCAACTAAACAGGAGCAAACAGTTGCTTTTACCCACCGGAACGGTTTCAGCCAAAAGGCAACTTATCCAAAAAGCCAATCCGAAGACTCGGTCGGGGGGAGTGTTTTGGACCAATGCGATTCATAAAACGGTCTGGACTTCGGTCAACTACTGTCCTATACAAACAGCTTGTATTTGTGCAACAAACAAGATTGGTCGGAAGTAGGAGATTCTTCCAATCAGACCTACCGAGACTGATTTTACAGGACCCTAGAGTGTTTTGCCAAAGAATATGTCCAGAACATATGAAATATTGCCATCGAAGCAGTTGAGTATGATAGATCCGAGTCGTTTGGCTGAAAAGTGGCGGTTGTGGTATCAGAATTGTGGAGATTTTGCCGTATTCACGAGTTTATATTCGGAAAGAAATGAACGCCAAATGCATATGCATCGTCGCTGTTTGGGAGATGATTCCACAAGAGTACTGAATACCAACAAATCTGACGTGAAAAAGATGACCTACAGGACTCACGAACGGTGCTACAAAAGATGCATGACAATTAGTTGATTCTACGGAATGGAATACTTCAACGAAACCAGTAATTTTTGAAGAGAACAGAGGGAGAAGAAAACAATCGATGACTGAGTCATTGCTGCGAAAAATCTGGCCAACTCGTGTGATTTACGTAACTATATGAAAGACCGCCTGATGCGAGATAAGCCGTTGTCTGGAGTTCGGAATGAATATACCACCAAACATTTGTTGCACATGCTCCAGTTTGACTCGAATACATAAACCGATATTTGCATAAGCGATAAGCTGGACACTAATCAGGTTGATCGCCTCACTGAAAGCGTAATAAAGACCGATTCGAAAGTGATAACGGGACTCGCCCTCGTCGAGTGCGTGGTTTATAAAAGTCCACATTGGAGACGAAAAGAAAATTCTCCAGCCTGGTCCAGGACGTTTTCTTATTGTTGTGAGCAGAATCGGTTTACTCGTACGTGTCGTTCAGTTCCCACAAAGCCAGTCAACCGTTCAGTGGAGTCAAAGCACGCTGTGAGCGGTCTCCCAGGTGGCACCACAAATAAAGGAGTATTGGCGAAAATTCTAGCAAATGGGAAACTCTTTCGGGTCTAAATGGATTCGGGGACCTGGATGAATACAATTCCCGTGTTCTGCGTTGATCCACTGGAGATCCGCAGTTGGAACACCAGTTTGGCAATGTAGTACAGAAATGGGACTGATGCCTTGGGAGAAATTGAATTGCAATTCAAAATCGCAAGGACCACACCGAAAGAATAGTCACGTTCATAGTGAGAAAGATCACCTGGTTGTCAATATTAGGACTGGATGCGATCCAAGAGATAGAATTTGTCACTGTATGCCATGGAAATTCCGTCAACGTTTTATAAACTCATTTGTACTCATTATGTATCAGTTATTTGATTCTCAGCGAAAGCATTTATCTGAAAAGGTACCGTTGGCAGTGATTGATGGTGTTTTGCCCAATTCATTGCCGGTCTGTGGTGTTCCAGTGGTATTAAGGGAAACTGTGCAGTATAAGACCGAGTGAATAGTGCGCCTCGAGGCAATTGCTGTGGTTGGCCAGTCAACTGATTGGGTTAGCCAGATCATGGGCAGAGAAAAGAAACCAGAAGCGATTTGAATGTGCATAGATCAAATAAAAGATCGGAGGAAAACCGACCATCCAAATTTGACGACGTTCTCGTTGACGTGAGCTAAGTATATTTGCTTAAGAAGGTTGAGTTATATTCAGGATTCTGGAAGATGAAATTAGAGGAAGATTCAAGAAATTCAATTATATTCGGATTGCTCTCGGTTAGTCCGTAGTCCTCGGAGGCCACAAATCCTAAAATACACAGTTGAAACGAGAGGCCATCTTGCCTAACTAATTCTGATCCACCACTTTTCAGAAACTACAACAACAGCTCAAACAACAACGACCACACCTGGTGAGTGCTTCTCGTGATATGCACCGTATGCAACAAGATTACACCAAAAACACATTTATTCCACCATGAAAAATATCTCGTTGCTTTCTCATCACACTGGCATGATTCGTGGCCGAATAGCACGACATGTGGTCATGTGCAATTTTGAAATGACTAGATACGATATAACAGGATGATATGACGACGCCGAACCGCATTGACTAGAGAGCACATATTATGCAAATGCTAAAATGATTAATTTGCCCCCAATTTGACATCCGATCGATCTCATCCGTACGTTTGCTTGGTGGATTGGTTCATTGATTGAATAGTTGATTGATCCATTGTTTCACACTGATCTATGCATATCGTAATACTGGTTGTTACCTTTTGTGTTCAGCGTGTCTTGCACACGAGTACCAATTGCACCGAGTTCTCTAGGTGATTATACACCCTCGAGTGGGTTCGACCGAATTGGTAGTAAAATTTATCATATAAAAAAATGACCCCGTAGTATGCAGATATTGACACAGACAGCTTTAAATAGACAGAGCGAGAGACAGTGATACATGCCCATAGACATACAGATAGGCTCATAGACAGAAAGACAGTCATGGAGAGACAGACATGCATACATGTAGGCGGGCGGATTGGTAGACACACGGACTGACAGACTGAGAGACGGACTTAGAGATAGGAAGATAGACAGACTCACAGACAGACGGACAGGGGTAAAGACAAATAGAGATATAAGGAGATAGACAGACACAGAATGTGACAGACCGAAAGACAAACAATCAGATAGATGGACAAACATAATGACTGACTGATTGAGATATAACAAACATCAGTGAGAAAGAGGGATAAGCAGAAAGTAGACTGGCTAACTTCTTGACAGGAATAGCAACGGAGAGAGTTCGAACGAGTCGCCATCATGCCTAACTAATTCTGATCCACCACTTTTCAGAAACTACAACAACAGCTCAAACAACAACGACCACACCTGGTGAGTGCTTCTCGTGATATGCACCGTATGCAACAAGATTGCACCAAAAACACATTTATTCCACCATGAAAAATATCTCGTTGCTTTCTCGTCACACTGGCATGATTCGTGGCCGAATAGCACGACATGTGGTCATGTGCAATTTTGAAATGACTAGATACGATATAACAGGATGATATGACCACGCCGAACCGCATTAACTAGAGAGCACATATTATGCAAATGCTAAAATGATTAATTTGCCCCCAATTTGACATCCGATCGATCTCATCCGTACGTTTGCTTGGTGGATTGGTTCATTGATTGAATAGTTGATTGATCCATTGTTTCACACTGATCTATGCATATCGTAATACTGGTTGTTACCTTTTGTGTTCAGCGTGTCTTGCACACGAGTACCAATTGCACCGAGTTCTCTAGGTGATTATTCACCCTCGAGTGGGTTCGACCGAATTGGTAGTAAAATTTATCATATAAAAAAATGACCCCGTAGTATGCAGATATTGACACAGACAGCTTTAAATAGACAGAGCGAGAGACAGTGATACATGCCCATAGACATACAGATAGGCTCATAGACAGAAAGACAGTCATGGAGAGACAGACATACATACATGTAGGCGGGCGGATTGGTAGACACACGGACTGACAGACTGAGAGACGGACTTAGAGATAGGAAGATAGACAGACTCACAGACAGACGGACAGGGGTAAAGACAAATAGAGATATAAGGAAATAGACAGACACAGAATGTGACAGACCGAAAGACAAACAATCAGATAGATGGACAAACATAATGACTGACTGATTGAGATATAACAAACATCAGTGAGAAAGAGGGATAAGCAGAAAGTAGACTGGCTAACTTCTTGACAGGTATAGCAACGGAGAGAGTTCGAACGAGTCGCCATCATGCCTAACTAATTCTGATCCACCACTTTTCAGAAACTACAACAACAGCTCAAACAACAACGACCACACCTGGTGAGTGCTTCTCGTGATATGCACCGTATGCAACAAGATTACACCAAAAACACATTTATTCCAACATGAAAAATATCTCGTTGCTTTCTCATCACACTGGCATGATTCGTGGCCGAATAGCACGACATGTGGTCATGTGCAATTTTGAAATGACTAGATACGATATAACAGGATGATATGACGACGCCGAACCGCATTGACTAGAGAGCACATATTATGCAAATGCTAAAATGATTAATTTGCCCCCAATTTGACATCCGATCGATCTCATCCGTACGTTTGCTTGGTGGATTGGTTCATTGATTGAATAGTTGATTGATCCATTGTTTCACACTGATCTATGCATATCGTAATACTGGTTGTTACCTTTTGTGTTCAGCGTGTCTTGCACACGAGTACCAATTGCACCGAGTTCTCTAGGTGATTATTCACCCTCGAGTGGGTTCGACCGAATTGGTAGTAAAATTTATCATATAAAAAAATGACCCCGTAGTATGCAGATATTGACACAGACAGCTTTAAATAGACAGAGCGAGAGACAGTGATACATGCCCATAGACATACAGATAGGCTCATAGACAGAAAGACAGTCATGGAGAGACAGACATGCATACATGTAGGCGGGCGGATTGGTAGACACACGGACTGACAGACTGAGAGACGGACTTAGAGATAGGAAGATAGACAGACTCACAGACAGACGGACAGGGGTAAAGACAAATAGAGATATAAGGAGATAGACAGACACAGAATGTGACAGACCGAAAGACAAACAATCAGATAGATGGACAAACATAATGACTGACTGATTGAGATATAACAAACATCAGTGAGAAAGAGGGATAAGCAGAAAGTAGACTGGCTAACTTCTTGACAGGAATAGCAACGGAGAGAGTTCGAACGAGTCGCCATCATGCCTAACTGATTCTGATCCACCACTTTTCAGAAACTACAACAACAGCTCAAACAACAACGACCACACCTGGTGAGTGCTTCTCGTGATATGCACCGTTTGCAACAAGATTATCTTCCCTCGCATTCATCTCAAGTTTGCGTTCCGCGCTTTGTCATTTTCTCATATTGAGATGACACATTTTCTTATTTTGGTATTTCATCTTTACATCTCTGTGCTATTTTTCGTCGTATTATATCTTTTTCATATTCCCTTAATCTTTTGCCTTTTCATCTTCTTTCTTTCCACCATTTGTCCATGATTTGAAATCATACATTACCTGCTGACCTGTCACTATTTTGTTTTATTGCCTAAAATATCAGAGTTTCCACACTCTAATTTTTTTTATACTTTTGTTGTTGTTGCACACAATTTTAATTGTTTGTTTTTGTTTGTGGTCTTTTTTACAGGTGGTACAAACAATATAAAGTGCTTCCGTGAACTAGTTCTCGCCTTTATCCTACTGAAGCAAATTTATAGTCAGATATCCATGTGAAGCAATTCACCACACGGATTACCCTATCTTTCTCACTATTCTGAATCCTTTTTAAATAACTCACTATTCCTTTGGAATCCTCTTTTAACTACTGAATAGACTTATACGTGCCCACACTCACGGTTCCTCAACTACATGTCATATTGATTATTTTAAATCAAAAATTTCCGCAAGCAAATACAAAAGTCACCAGAATGAAAAGTTCTTCCCTTATTGTGAAAACAGTTTGCTGGGACTCATTAAGTAAGCATCTAACAGCACGAGTCAAGCAACTGATGTTTGGTGGTAGATGATGGACCGATTGGAGTAAGATTGTCGGACGAGGCACCGAACAGAGTAAGGAATCACGTATCTCGCTTGAATTTCGAGAGCACAAGGAGGAGCGTATTAACTGTAATATCTTTTTTTGCTCAACGAACAACCTTCTGACAAAGAAGCACTGTCTTATTTTCCTCGGTCAGTATCACGGGCAATCCAATCAAAGTGTGCTTTGCACAGTTGGAGCCTTCCCGTTGAAGATAATTAACCACTGCAAATCAGTGGGATTATTGCAACTTAAATATAAGATAACATAAGTCGGATCAATTCAATTGAAATCATTTCATACAGATCATTGTTTGAATTGCTTGCAACTCAGAAATCAAATTTGAGTAAGGATTTGATGCCTATCAAAGCATCGTTATCCTTGCTAAGGTTGACGTAGCAGCTACACACAGTTCCAACCTCAACCTGCCTATACAAATTAGTCTTCGCTTTAACTCAATTCATTTTGAAAGTCAATGGAAAACTACTAATATGATAACTAGCCAAAAATACTTGTCTATCTCAAACAAAGTCTCGCAAAACTATGTAGATTTCACATCCTTTACATGGAGGAACACAAATTCTGATGCACTCCGAAGTTGACACAGTGGAAGGGTGAATGTGGATTTCGTTGATGTGCAAGTACTGATCGTACATGTTGAGAATCACGGTGATCTAATTTCGCATCCTTCACTATGCTATCATCTATACCGTGTGTGTTATGTTATGGTGCTTTGGCAAAATGGTATTCCAAAAAGTATGGTATTCGCTAGAAGGATTGAAATAATTTATTCAGCTGTTGTCAATCTGAGGTGTGCTGTATGTGAAACAAGGTCTGTCATTCAGCATACAAGAGATCCCACTGCATAGTTCAAATGATTTATTCTCCCAACGAAGGTTTCTCACAGAACGTTTGATGTCTCCCGATGTTGTAGTGGTCGAGGAAGAACCATACTGCAAATTCAGATGACCGTGTTCCTGAGGTCGATCGGTTGATTGAGTCACGCATAAGTACCAGAAATAACACAAAGAAAACTGAGACTGTATTCGAATACGGAACTTACGCTGAACTCAGTCGACTGGTACACGATAGAAACATATTCACCTGATTTCCGTTAGCACAATTCACAGTTATCAAATGGCAAGTTTTCTCATTTATGGTCGTATGGGAAAAACCAATGAACTTCGTCATTCGTCGACAGACAAATACGTACAGATTAAACACGACGCGCTCGTAAAGAGGTCAACGAAGCCGCACGATTCCCAGATCGAGGCTGCGATCTTTCTCAATGATAACATGAGTGAAGTCATCAGCAGCATCATTATGTGAGCGATTATCGATGAACCGATTCGTATCTGAAAGATCATCATCATGAGCGGATGCATCATAACCATGTCATTACTATCATAAAGTTCAATTCAGTTCAGCTCAGTTCAAACAATCATCAACCAAGCACTGTGTGCGCTGGTCTTGGTTGCTTCTTCCCAGCGACAGCCTCAATAAGAAATAATGAGAAAGAACAGGAATATGAAGGGAGTAGTTAGAGAACTGCGAAAAACAGTATGAATTTTAAAAGGAAAGTTTGTAGATACAAGATTGCCACTGATCACTACACCTGCCTACTTCTTTAAACGACTAGGTGGCAGGTCTCTTGGACCCTATTCCGGAAGCCTAACACGTCCTACATAGCCAAGTCAACGAGTTAGATTTCCCATAACTTTGTTCCATGTCATGTACTGGCCACCCCTACTCATCTTCTAACCGTTATTCACCTCAGCGAACATTGTGCATCGAGGAATCCTATCACGGGACATGTGCAACACATGTCCTTATCATCTTGGACTGATCAACACAAGTGTTTCATCTAGTAATTTGGTTCGTGAACCTAAGACTCTTCGCCGAACATCAGCATTGTTTAAAACGTGTTTCCACTAGATGCGACAAATGCTACGAAGATATCGGTGTTCAAATGCCGACAATCTTCGTAAGTTCCCTACTCGCAGTAGCCATGTCCCCGAAGCATACAAAAGCACTGGCCTGACTGCTGTAGTGTACGCCCGATCCTTGATGGACAATCATGTATAATGTCAATGCCATAGATGACTCAAGCTTGCAAAAGCCAAACGAGTCTTCTGTATACGCAAAGACAGCTCATCCAATATGCGACCTCTGGGTGAAATTCAGTTTCCCAGATGAAAGAACTTATGTGCTTGATCTGTAGTCTCCTCAGACACAAAACGTATGCCAAACCATGTTACACAGTCAGTCAGACTGTCCACAAAAGCTTGTAACTTTCTTCGACCCTCACTTGGAAGAACTACGTCGTCCGCATATTCAAGGTCTGACACTTTGCCATGCGCGAAACGTTCAATACTACTATCCCCAATAGACAAAAGCCCATTCTCCGGGACAATATCACTCACAGTGGAAAGAGGAAAGGGGAATGGGGGAAACCGTGCATAAACCATTTATCGTGGGGAGCTCGGATGAACGAGCACGGTAAACCTGAACTCGGCTTCGGCTATTCGTGTACAGGTACCATGTAGTGCAATTGAATTTCTCTGGTACACTTGTGAAAAAGAGGCAGAACCAGATAACTGTATGGTAGACTGAGTCGAAGACCGCTTTTGAATTAAGAAACATAGAGATTATGGGTTTACCGAAGGTGTGCCCATGTTCTAAAATTTGTCAAAGAATGAAGATATGGTCAATACACTGTCGGCCAGGTCTAATTCCAGCTTGATTCTTGAGCCAAAACATTTTGCGAGCTGTAAATAAGCGGTGGAGAATAATACCAGCAAGCAGTTGCATGAAATGCTAATCAGACTTTACTATCTGTGTTTATTACAGGAGAACTTATCGCTGTTCTCCTTGGTAATCGATATGAGCACCGATTCACACCAGCTCTTTGGAATTTGTTCCCTATCCCAAACCAAATGAAGGGTTTTGTCAACTTCAGTGACAGTGCTGAACCATCGTCTTTGAAAATAGATGGGGCAACCTATCCGGTCCATCAATAGTATATCGTTTATGGTTTCTCATCTCATGAAGAACCTCCGCTTCTCACGGGTGTCAGTATCTACGAACAGAACTACAACCATAGTGCTACCTAGCAGACCTTCGTGGATAAAGGTCAATTAAAATGCTCCTCGAAATGCTCCACCCAATGAACTAGACGACGCTCCTGAGTTTGAATCAGTTAGCCATGTGCTTCTTTGATCAATTCACTAACACCTCACTTTCGTCGAACGGTATATCTGATTAGACGTGAAAGGCTGCGGCTGTTGCTGATCGCCGAAGCTTTCTCCATCTCCTTACACTTCTCAATCCACCAATACTCAAGATCGTATCTCAGTCTTCGAATCAGTGATCATTTTCGCGACTCTTCTTATTAGTGAATGACCTGTGCGTGCGTGCGTGTGTGTGAGAGATTTTCTCAATCACCCATTTCACCAGTGATCCAAGATTTCCTGTGACCATAGATAGGTTGTGGGTAGGAAGCACATGGTTTTGGGACACCACGGTACCGATAACCGTTTCTAACATGTACTGTTGGCTCGGTCCTACTTCGCTGGGAATATGTCTCTTCTGACCATTTGTACGATTTGATATCCATTCACGGATTTCTGTGAATAAATTACTCCAACAAATTGAGGTACGTTGTCTGTATTTGTATCAACCATTCCCTAAATTGCACGTCGACTAACGACTCTTCTTATTTGACTTTGAGTTTTCGCTGGAAGCATTGCAGCATATTATTATCGTCCACCGTTCTCTTACTACTCATACCCGAACATTCTTCACCTACTTGCACAATACCTGTGTTTGGCGCACTTCATAACAACAAACTTTTTTTCACTACCATTGAGTATTTTGCGCGACTCATGATATTGCATTGTATGCTATGGATATTCATCAAACTTTGATATAAAGAAGCCGTACCAGTTTTGTGATTACTGTTCACTTCAGCACTGTCTGTGTCACGATAAAGGAAATATATCCAAATCTACATCCTTGTTGCTGACTGACCCATAGAAGACTGACAACATGATTATCACTCATCAAACAGATTTCAAGTATGGTATTCTCGTAGATGATTTTATGCTTGGGTAAATTGAAATACGAATATTTTCTGTTCGGTTATAAAGGATTATTAGCATGGTGAGAAGTATCCAAAGAGAACATATGTGGTTCATTTGAAATAGTTCTCGAAATCAGGGAGGCAGCAGTCTGGCTGCACTAGTGATATATTATATGTGAATAATGAAAACGTTGTAGCAGACGTTCCGGGATTTGCTGATTATGATGATGATGATGAAGGTAATGATGAATATGACGATGATGATGATGACGATGATGATAATGATGTTGATGAAGATGACGATGATGATCATGATGATGATGATGGTTATGATGATGATGATGATGATGGTTATGATGATGATGTTGATGATGATTCGCATGATAATAATGATGATGATGATGATGAAGATGATGATGATGATGTTGAGTCGGATGATGATGATGATGATGATGATGATGATGATGATGATGACGACGATGATGATGATGATGGTAGTGATTCGAATGACGATGATGATGATGATGATGATGATGATGATGATGAT